CACCAACCACCAACCACCAACCACCAACCACCAACCACCAACCACCACCACCACCACCACCACCACCACCACCACCTATGAAAGTTAAAACTCTCGTGAACTGTTCCCAAAAAGAACGTGAACCTTGAACAAAATTGAATGAGACCTCAAACCTATCGCGAACCCTCGGACGCGATCGTCCGATTCGCCCACCGCCCCGGCGCCCGCGCGCGTTTTTCTCGCACGGACTTGAGCCTTGAGCCAGTGAGCCAATGACGAACGGATTTGAGGCCCCCAACTAGGGTTGGCTGCACTCAATGGGTTCTTACGAACGCGCACTGTAAGCTAAAGGATGCCGACAGCTTGGGCTGACTGCACCCTTAAATCACAGCTCTGGCGATTGTTGAGTTCGTCATGGCAAGGCTCGGCTTCGACGAACTTGGTACACTTTCTCGATTTGTACAGAATATCCCTTGGCTTGAGCTCTCTCGGATCAACTCTTCCGGAGGTGGTGACAAAAGACGCAGGAACTGGCTGATGTCCATCGGCGTCCGACTTGGGTCACCGTCCATTCCATCATTCATTGCAACATCGGGCAATTCATCAGGGATTGAGGGTTCATATTCAGGGTCTACTTCCATGGAGGGAGGATCCCAACGAACATCAGCATTCGGCGCGTCCGGAAGCCGACCATCAGACATCTCAGGAGCGGGTTCCCTGTCACCTGAGACGGGAGGCTTCTTCTCGGAATATCGAATGTGCCCGGTGGGATGATCCGGCTTTGGAAGAACATCTGAACCTGCCTGATGACCTGATGATGGATCTTCTTGACCTTTGGATGACCCACTCAACCGACGACGCTCTGACTCTACCCAGTCCCTGTAACGTCTACAGCAAGCAGCAGAGTGTTTACGACCATGTCTACTGGATGCGTTGCAAGCTGTGCAATCGGGTGTTGGACCGTACTGTTGAATCCAGGGACGGGGTGGACCGGTCGACGGAAGTGCTTCACCGGCCCCGACCTGATCATCCAATGGCCTTGGTGGCCTCATGGATTCGCTCGAAGGCAACTCTGCGCGTGAAGTCTTCGGGATTTCCTTGAGAACCGATGGACGCATACTGACGTCCCACATCAAACGGTCGAGCGGCTTCACCTCTGCCTGGAACGTGTGTTCTTACCCTGAGATCTGCGTGGTCACAACATGTGCCAAACTGTTGGGTTTGATGTACATGTATGCAGCAGGAACGAATCGACTTTTCTCGGGGATCTGATCAATGAGCGACTCCGGAACTTTGGCCATACAAATGCTTCCAAACATGCTCGTGACTGGTTTAGGTCGATCTTTCTGAAGCAACAACTCGACTGGTGTTCGACGATTTTCAAGTCCCGAGGAGCTTCCGGTCGCACTGCCAACCCCAA